TGCGCCGAGGCCAAGTGGGGCGCGCGCTAGGGAGAGCGGGAAGGTAAGGGGGCGCGAGATGGGCCTGGGGGCCTGAGGGTAGAGTTGGGAGGTAGAGAGAGAATGGGGTGTTGTGGTGAAAGAAGGTACTTGGGAAATCTAGGGGAGCCACGGGTCATGGTGAGGTGTGGAAACTGGGGTGATGAGAGAACCTGGAGTCAGGGCTAGTCGGTGAGGGGCAGCAAGGGAGTCAGGCCTAAGTCCTGAACCCCCTTGCGTATCCCTCTTTCCTAACAGTGTAAATGAGCAAAGATGGATCAGGAAGGTGGGGGAGATGGGCAGAAAGCCCCGAGCTTCCAGTGGCGGAACTACAAGCTCATCGTGGATCCTGCCTTGGACCCTGCCTTACGCAGGCCTTCTCAAAAGGTGTACAGATACGATGGAATCCACTTCAGTGTCAACGTGAGTGCCCCAGGCCTTTCCTTGCCATCTAGGGAACTCAGGCCCGATTCTTCTCTGTTACCTCCGTTCACCACCGAGAACTCCCATACCCATAGCCTGCCTCCTTTAAAGTGGGCAACCAGCATCCAGCTCTTTTGCAGATGGGTCTCCAAAGGGGCTCTAGAGCTCAACGATGTGGTTTCTTCTTGAACTATCTTTCTGTTCCTGCTTTTTTCCTAGGACTCAAAGTATATTCCAGTCGAAGACCTCCAAGACCCCCGTTGCCACGTCAGGTCCAAAAACAGAGAATTTTCCCTCCCAGTCCCTAAGTTTAAGGTACGTGTCTGCTGGTGTCTTGGTGTGGTGGCCCTCGGAAAGTGTGAAGGATTGATCCTTGCAGTCTAGTCTTATTGTAGCATAATAAAAGGGGGTTTTCCAATGAAAAGATCACAGCCAGATCTAATAATTTCTGAGTCTGTGAGACTGAGTTGTTCTGGACAGGAGGGATGTTTATCTTCTAAAAAGGTATAGGTGAAGTGTCTCAAGCAGGGGTGTTAACTTTTTGAAGGACGAAGACAGGTCTACCTACTACACCTATCACCATGTGCTTCTAGACAGCAGACAGCAAAACAGTGCCCTGTATGTTACCCGAGTTTCTCAATTAAGGGGAATGACAAGGCCACTGGATACAGTGACAACATCCCTGGGGGTCTGCTGTTCCTCGTCCCTCCTCCATCTTGTGTCCTTAGAGGATTCCTGTGTCCCTGACTGGGCAGGATACTCATCAGGCCATGGACTGGACCTGGAAAACTGGTGGTTCTTAGTTTCTTTCATTAATTCTGTATTCTTCCATTTTGAATAAGTCATTTGTGGGGTTCCCTCACTCCTCTTTTTTCACTTCATACACTTTTCCTGAACAGTCTCTTTCTGCTCCACAACTTTGTTACTGAAATGTTGATTACTTTGAAATCTCTGTTCCCAGCCAAGATCAGTTTCTTGAACTCTAGACTTAACATGCCTCATGGAGGGATGGCTCCATCCAGAAACCTCAATCTCGAGAGATGTAAAACAATTATATTCACCCCCTTAATCCTGCTCTCCTTTCTATTTTCCTTCTACTGATGAATGACAGCACCATCTACTCAGCAGCACAAACTAGAAACTTGGGAGTCATCCTGTGATTCTTCTACTTTATCTGTCACCAAATTGTGCTGAATCTTTTTTATAAACATGTTTCTTCTTTTACCTTAGTTTTTCTATTTTTGTTGCCATTCCTTTAATACAGACTCTTGTATTCATTTCCCCTGGTTTCCTTGCCTCCATGCGTTTCTCTATTTTATTGCTGTCATTTGTCTCTTTGGTTTTACTGTTCTCTTACCTTACTTCTGTTGACAAGTGCACGTTTTTGTGCATTGACAAGTATGATTATTCATTTGGCCAAGCCTCATCTGCTTTGATATTGCACATGTGTATTTCTTCCTACTGAGTGCTTTGCATGTTCCAGGCAATGCCAAGTTATTTAAGAGTTCTGTGCCTTATGGGTGCTGTCATTTTTGGTGAACTCCTGTTTATCTGAAAAGCCTAGTACGAATGACACCATTTTTATGAATTCTTTCTTGCCTCCACTCTGAGCAAAGATTTC